ATCATGTATCCATGATCAATCTGGCAGAGTGCAGGATCTTCTTGTGTTTCTGCAGCCTCTGTGTTTCTGAGCAGTGGAAGGTTACAAGGAAGGTCCACTTTACATACACGGAAGGGTCTGCAGAAGACTGAAATGAGTAGTGGCACAATCTTGCTAAAAGTGGCAGTGAGACATTGGCTGGCATATCTACAGCAGGGAGTAGGGAAGATTGCAGAAATTCCAGGGTCAATACCACCCATGAGATTCAGCGCGACACCTTAAAGAGAAACTATCCAGAAACACCAAAATGGGATAACTATCATCCATGGTGCACTATCTGATCCAATAAACCTGCTTCCCAGAAAAAGCTAATTGGGTTGGGCATGGGGATGTTCTAGATGTCCACAAATTCTGGCAGAAAGCTCCACTGCACCATACAGATGTATTTATCAGGGGGGAAAGAGTGACCAGGTTAGGATGATCTGTGACAGAGGAGGAGGTAAGTTCAGTCCACCCTGAACAGCCTGGATGCTGCTCCAGCAGTCAAAACAATGGAGTGGGTAGAACATGCCTTGCTCACAATGAGCACCGGTTTGTTGTGGCAACAGGGCACTTAGGAGGTCTGCCAAGGTCAGAACCTCTGCAGTCAGTGTCTCGTGTTCTTTGAAGTGGGACAGCTGGTTTCACATTTGACGTGTGGAAATCCTTTGGGGAGTCTGTTGCCTTAGGTTTAACCTGCTACCTGCTCTGTCTTTGGACATCATGGTAATGGTAATAAGCTTGCTTTACTTTCTTCCTCTTCTGCGCCTCTTCCTCAAACTCAACAAAACCCAATTTGTCTTACTTGCATAAATCTTTTATCAGATGTAAAATCTATGCCTTCTATCCCTTTTATAGAATGAAGCAAATACTGTGAGCCTGGAAGCAAGAGGCTGAACTCTCAGTTCACAGCCTGAAATGTCTAACTAGCTGTTGTCAGTGAAAATGCTATCTGATGACTAGACATACCCTACAAGTTCTGATCTGACGATCCTGGAGGCAGTAAGAAACTCCCCAGGCTGAGCTAGATTTTCAGTCAAGTTTTATTTCCAGAAAAGAAAAGCCATCCTTATCTGAGCTGCGGAAAGATCCTGATTAGGTTACGTTTTAAACAAGTGTGATATACTGTTCTTACTTCTCGGGGGCCCCTAGCCAGCTCCACAGGTTACTGTGAGGGGAACTGCAACAAATTCTCTTCCTCAAAAGCCTACAGGTGAGATTTTCAGATCTGCCTCCAGACCTATATCCAGCGATTGAATTTTTTCAGTCATACCTAGGCAAGGAACATGATGGAATGCAAGTGAGAGCTAAGCCCCTAGACGCTTTCCTATAGGCTCCAGTATGCCCTATGTGTACGCACCCACATTCTCGGAGTCATTCCTTTTCTTGTGTCTAGAAGGGTCACCTGCTTCATTGTCAGTGCAGAGCCATGTCCATTCTATGTTCTGTGCTCGAAGGTCCCTGGTGGTGCTTTGAGATCAGTGGAGGGCCCCCGTCTTGAGACAGGAACCCTGTTTGCTAAAGAGCAGAAAATACAAGGAGATTTGGAAGAAAGCAGGGGTCTAGAAGAATCAGAATATTCTTTCCAAGCAGTTATGGAAGAGCTTAAAGAAAATCAAAAAGCTCTAAAACTTACTTCCCAGAAAGCCCAGAAGCAGCAGCATGAAAAGATGGTTAAGTGGAAAATAAAAGTCTTCCAGATGTAAAACTACAGTGGAAGATGTAGATCAGCCAGGAAACTGAATGTGCAAAGGAAAGTGAGGCTTGTGAGACATTTGAGTTTCTTCTCCGAGGTGAAGAACCTCCCTAGCTCCCATCTTTAGAGATCAACACCAAATTCACAAAACGTAAAATCCTTTCACTTGGTCAAAAGAGCCCTGGTGTTTGGTTTTAACCAGCCAGGCCCTACTTAAATGTTGTCAAAATTTGCTTCGCATTTTCCAATCAGAAAATTTTTGTATGGTGGCTATTTCATATTTTGTAAGGTGACATTCAGTGGAAGATTCCAACTTTAGGAGCACAGTTTTTAAAGGGAAAGAATGGATATTAGATAACTCCTGAGTTGTTACACAAATGTGTGAATAATCACTTGAATGAATATTCAGGTTGACTTAGATGACCATATTCTATTTTCAACTCTCAGCTTAAATATTAATTTATCCTCCCTCTCTCCAATGTACAGCAGAAAGCCATCAGGGGCACTTCAACATCGTCCAGCAGTTCAGACAATGAAACAGAGAGCAGGGATGCTGAGAGTCCTGCAGGCTCTTCGGATACAGGAGGAACCAGCAGTTTGTCCTCAGAGGAGTCCAGCGGTACAGAGGGGCTCCGTGACAAGCAGCTCAGAGGAATCCATCTTGAGCTTGAGAGGCTGAGGTGGCATTTTGTGCTGACTAAACTGAAATGTGAACTGGAGGATAAGGAAAAACAAAGGCTCCATGAAGAGCAAATGGAGCAGATTCGTCAGCAGGCAGGAAAAGGATCGGTAAGTAGGGAAACACAAAAAGGGACGAACACAGTAAAGACTGAAACATTCACATGACATGAACCCAGGACAGTATGTTAAGCAGTTTGTAAGATTTTAGTGTTGAGTAGTCCTGGGACTTCTTTTAAAGTCCTGCCTAGGTGATCTTTACTGCTTGTACACATGCTTAAGGAGAATGGAGTTGTTCCACTCTGTAGAACATGAACTGTGGTAACATTCATTGCTATCAAATATATTCAACAACAGTTAACTCACAATGAAGAGCATGATGTAAGGATGCAAGAGCATGTTTTCTTCCTTACTTTCTCTCCCCCCCCCATCAGAGGGATTGCTGTGAACACCCCTTTGATCAGTTTTCTGTTTCTACAGTGGGAGCAATTTCCTGGGTTGAAATTAGGGGACTTGAGATGATAAATGCATGTCTAAAGAATTAGATGAAAGAATCTGCCCAAGGAATGAAAGTTTTCTAGACAATTAGTCAGATTTTGAAAGCCTGTTTTTTGCAGAAGTAGATGAGGTTTTTGTATGTTGGGGCATATGAGTCTGTGCTTAACAGTAGTCCAGCCCAGAAGAGACCATTGTATTTGGCAGAGTTTAGCAAATGGCACAGCTGCCAGTCTTGGTTGCCTGGGCTCTTCCTGATCACATTGGCTGTCTGTGGGCTTGACTCTCCTCCAGTTTATTGCAATTTGTCATTAGACCGAGGGAGTAAGAGGAGTATCTGATTCTAAATCGTCAGAGTTTTAGAGGTACTTGCAGTGTTTGCCCTCTCTTGCAGATTCTGTGCTCTAAATCAGGACAGGATAGGAGGGTATGTTTTACACACTAACAGTAGCATTCCTGTTGTGGTTGTACATAGGAGCTCAGATCCCACACAAGAATGGCACTGAGCTACATACAAGATAATCCCTGAAGTTTTCCATAACCATTTATTTATTTATTTATTTATTCATACAGCTAATCCCTAGGCCTGGATAGGATCTCACAATTCTGTGAAGTAAATGCAGTTCCAATGAAATCAGTGAAGTTGTATCAGAGAAAAACAGTGAGGATCAGGGCCAATATATATTTTGCTAAATTACTGACATGCATCTGCATTAAACAAATGAACCACTGGATTTTCTTATTAAATTAAGACCTGAGAGATTGCCCATGGACATGTGTAAGGGTCTGAAATTGCCACACAGTGGAAAACCCTAGGCAGCAGTTTATTCCACAGATGTAGATGCAGATGCACTAAAGCCTTACCATGGCTGTGCACTCACTTCACCTGACCTGCTTTGTGTACCTGCATGCTTGTTCTTCCAGTAAAGATGAGGTCAGTCACCTTCATTTCAAAGGGAGAGAGCTTAACTTATGCTATGGGTCTGGTGGGGATGTGACATTGGCCACTGAACACAGCAAAGCTGATGTGCTTTCTATTCACATGCTGGCTTATGTCACAGCAGCTTTTCATGAACTGAGCGTGCCAGAGGGCCAGGTGTGCTCAGGGAAGCATGGAGTGGATGTGTGACATAATGTGTATCTTTTTCTGCAGGTCAATGAAGGACTCCAAAACCTCCTCCAGCCCTCGAACAAATATGCCTTCTTCCTTTACTGCTTCATCGTCTTTTGTGTTATCCATACTTTAAAGGAGTTGGCCTTCTATGTTTTGGAAACCCATTACCTCTTCTGTTTTGCTATAGTGCTCTTCTACCTTCTTAAGATGACTTTCCAAGATTACAGAAATAACAATAAACGTCCTTAAGAAAAGCTGCATCTTCTACTCTTTTTTGCCCCATTTTTGCTGCTTTTTTATTATCACTACACCAGTCATACATGCAGGGTTTCAGCTATCATTATATGCCTAATTAAGAAAAACAAACTGATTTCCTGAAGAAAATTGTGACTGAATGGCATCGTTCGGTTTCATGCTGTCTCACCAACATGCTTAGCATCGTTCAGGGGCATTCATCTATGCAAATAAAGCTACGCACAAGAAGAAATCATTTTGGAACATGTTCTATTTTATCTCACCTCCTTGGATTAGCACAGTGACTTGATCTTACCTATCATGAATTATCACAGAGAGGTTTCACAGTTGTGTTTATTAGCATGAAGGGAGACGCTCGAGAGAATTTAATGATCTGTTCGCTACCATGCGCAATGGGCACAGTGCTTTGCATTAGAGTGGTTCTCAATCTCTGGGACAGAAACATTCTTCTCTGCGTTGTGCCATCCTCTGTAGTTGTGCACAGTTTGTCTCAGCATTAGATCAGCAAGCACTGGTGAGGACATACGCCCTTTAGAATTGAGGAATCGTGATTTCTGAAGTTTCCATGCTGATAAGGAAAGATATCAAATACAGCCTCAGTAAAAGGTATTTTGTCTAATGAGAATATGACTAGACCCTTCTAATACTGCTTTAGTTGAACAATAGATGACATTTCCAGCTGAGAAGAGATGAAGAGTCATCTACCGTATGGTATGTCAGGCTAGAGTGAGTACAAGCTCATCAGCCTTCAAGTGGTGTTAGAGCATAACGCACCCTTATACCCCCATGCATCTTACTCTCTTTTATTTAAATAAATCTTAGCCTGCGTTCTCTTTGCACTCTGCTCTTAACAGGAAAACAACCTCAAGTGTATTTAATAGTCAAGGTTAGATAAGCAAAAACCTGTTCAGGTCAGTGTGACATGCGTATACTCTAACCCTACTCAGGTTTATCATGTATCCATGATCAATCTGGCAGAGTGCAGGATCTTCTTGTGTTTCTGCAGCCTCTGTGTTTCTGAGCAGTGGAAGGTTACAAGGAAGGTCCACTTTACATACACGGAAGGGTCTGCAGAAGACTGAAATGAGTAGTGGCACAATCTTGCTAAAAGTGGCAGTGAGACATTGGCTGGCATATCTACAGCAGGGAGTAGGGAATTGCAGAAATTCCAGGGTCAATACCACCCATGAGATTCAGCGCGACACCTTAAAGAGAAACTATCCAGAAACACCAAAATGGGATAACTATCATCCATGGTGCACTATCTGATCCAATAAACCTGCTTCCCAGAAAAAGCTAATTGGGTTGGGCATGGGGATGTTCTAGATGTCCACAAATTCTGGCAGAAAGCTCCACTGCACCATACAGATGTATTTACAGGGGGGAAAGAGTGACCAGGTTAGGATGATCTGTGACAGAGGAGGAGGTAAGTTCAGTCCACCCTGAACAGCCTGGTTGCTGCTCCAGCAGTCAAAACAATGGAGTGGGTAGAACATGCCTTGCTCACAATGAGCACCGGTTTGTTGTGGCAACAGGGCACTTAGGAGGTCTGCCAAGGTCAGAACCTCTGCAGTCAGTGTCTCGTGTTCTTTGAAGTGGGACAGCTGGTTTCACATTTGACGTGTGGAAATCCTTTGGGGAGTCTGTTGCCTTAGGTTTAACCTGCTACCTGCTCTGTCTTTGGACATCATGGTAATGGTAATAAGCTTGCTTTACTTTCTTCCTCTTCTGCGCCTCTTCCTCAAACTCAACAAAATCCAATTTGTCTTACTTGCATAAATCTTTTATCAGATGTAAAATCTATGCCTTCTATCCCTTTTATAGAATGAAGCAAATACTGTGAGCCTGGAAGCAAGAGGCTGAACTCTCAGTTCACAGCCTGAAATGTCTAACTAGCTGTTGTCAGTGAAAATGCTATCTGATGACTAGACATACCCTACAAGTTCTGATCTGACGATCCTGGAGGCAGTAAGAAACTCCCCAGGCTGAGCTAGATTTTCAGTCAAGTTTTATTTCCAGAAAAGAAAAGCCATCCTTATCTGAGCTGCGGAAAGATCCTGATTAGGTTACGTTTTAAACAAGTGTGATATACTGTTCTTACTTCTCGGGGGCCCCTAGCCAGCTCCACAGGTTACTGTGAGGGGAACTGCAACAAATTCTCTTCCTCAAAAGCCTACAGGTGAGATTTTCAGATCTGCCTCCAGACCTATATCCAGCGATTGAATTTTTTCAGTCATACCTAGGCAAGGAACATGATGGAATGCAAGTGAGAGCTAAGCCCCTAGACGCTTTCCTATAGGCTCCAGTATGCCCTATGTGTACGCACCCACATTCTCGGAGTCATTCCTTTTCTTGTGTCTAGAAGGGTCACCTGCTTCATTGTCAGTGCAGAGCCATGTCCATTCTATGTTCTGTGCTCGAAGGTCCCTGGTGGTGCTTTGAGATCAGTGGAGGGCCCCCGTCTTGAGACAGGAACCCTGTTTGCTAAAGAGCAGAAAATACAAGGAGATTTGGAAGAAAGCAGGGGTCTAGAAGAATCAGAATATTCTTTCCAAGCAGTTATGGAAGAGCTTAAAGAAAATCAAAAAGCTCTAAAACTTACTTCCCAGAAAGCCCAGAAGCAGCAGCATGAAAAGATGGTTAAGTGGAAAATAAAAGTCTTCCAGATGTAAAACTACAGTGCATCATGGAAGATGTAGATCAGCCAGGAAACTGAATGTGCAAAGGAAAGTGAGGCTTGTGAGACATTTGAGTTTCTTCTCCGAGGTGAAGAACCTCCCTAGCTCCCATCTTTAGAGATCAACACCAAATTCACAAAACGTAAAATCCTTTCACTTGGTCAAAAGAGCCCTGGTGTTTGGTTTTAACCAGCCAGGCCCTACTTAAATGTTGTCAAAATTTGCTTCGCATTTTCCAATCAGAAAATTTTTGTATGGTGGCTATTTCATATTTTGTAAGGTGACATTCAGTGGAAGATTTCCAACTTTAGGAACACAGTTTTTAAAGGGAAAGAATGGATATTAGATAACTCCTGAGTTGTTACACAAATGTGTGAATAATCACTTGAATGAATATTCAGGTTGACTTAGATGACCATATTCTATTTTCAACTCTCAGCTTAAATATTAATTTATCCTCCCTCTCTCCAATGTACAGCAGAAAGCCATCAGGGGCACTTCAACATCGTCCAGCAGTTCAGACAATGAAACAGAGAGCAGGGATGCTGAGAGTCCTGCAGGCTCTTCGGATACAGGAGGAACCAGCAGTTTGTCCTCAGAGGAGTCCAGCGGTACAGAGGGGCTCCGTGACAAGCAGCTCAGAGGAATCCATCTTGAGCTTGAGAGGCTGAGGTGGCATTTTGTGCTGACTAAACTGAAATGTGAACTGGAGGATAAGGAAAAACAAAGGCTCCATGAAGAGCAAATGGAGCAGATTCGTCAGCAGGCAGGAAAAGGATCGGTAAGTAGGGAAACACAAAAAGGGACGAACACAGTAAAGACTGAAACATTCACATGACATGAACCCAGGACAGTATGTTAAGCAGTTTGTAAGATTTTAGTGTTGAGTAGTCCTGGGACTTCTTTTAAAGTCCTGCCTAGGTGATCTTTACTGCTTGTACACATGCTTAAGGAGAATGGAGTTGTTCCACTCTGTAGAACATGAACTGTGGTAACATTCATTGCTATCAAATATATTCAAGAACAGTTAACTCACAATGAAGAGCATGATGTAAGGATGCAAGAGCATGTTTTCTTCCTTACTTTCTCTCCCCCCCCCATCAGAGGGATTGCTGTGAACACCCCTTTGATCAGTTTTCTGTTTCTACAGTGGGAGCAATTTCCTGGGTTGAAATTAGGGGACTTGAGATGATAAATGCATGTCTAAAGAATTAGATGAAAGAATCTGCCCAAGGAATGAAAGTTTTCTAGACAATTAGTCAGATTTTGAAAGCCTGTTTTTTGCAGAAGTAGATGAGGTTTTTGTATGTTGGGGCATATGAGTCTGTGCTTAACAGTAGTCCAGCCCAGAAGAGACCATTGTATTTGGCAGAGTTTAGCAAATGGCACAGCTGCCAGTCTTGGTTGCCTGGGCTCTTCCTGATCACATTGGCTGTCTGTGGGCTTGACTCTCCTCCAGTTTATTGCAATTTGTCATTAGACCGAGGGAGTAAGAGGAGTATCTGATTCTAAATCGTCAAAGTTTTAGAGGTACTTGCAGTGTTTGCCCTCTCTTGCAGATTCTGTGCTCTAAATCAGGACAGGATAGGAGGGTATGTTTTACACACTAACAGTAGCATTCCTGTTGTGGTTGTACATAGGAGCTCAGATCCCACACAAGAACGGCACTGAGCTACATACAAGATAATCCCTGAAGTTTTCCATAACCATTTATTTATTTATTTATTTATTCATACAGCTAATCCCTAGGCCTGGATAGGATCTCACAATTCTGTGAAGTAAATGCAGTTCCAATGAAATCAGTGAAGTTGTATCAGAGAAAAACAGTGAGGATCAGGGCCAATATATATTTTGCTAAATTACTGACACGCATCTGCATTAAACAAATGAACCACTGGATTTTCTTATTAAATTAAGACCTGAGAGATTGCCCATGGACATGTGTAAAGGTCTGAAATTGCCACACAGTGGAAAACCCTAGGCAGCAGTTTATTCCACAGAGGTAGATGCAGATGCACTAAAGCCTTAGCATGGATGTGAACTCACTTCACGTGACCAGCTTTGTGTACCCGCACGCTTGTTCTTCCAGTAAAGATGAGGTCAGTCACCTTCATTTCAAAGGGAGAAAGCTTAACTTATGCTATGGGTCTGGTGGGGATGTGACACTGGCCACTGAACACAGCAAAGCTGATGCGCTTTCGATTCACATGCTGGCTTATGTCACAGCAGCTTTTCATGAACTGAGCATGCCAGAGGGCCAGGTGTGCTCAGGGAAGCATGGAGTGGATGTGTGACATAATGTGTATCTTTTTCTGCAGGTCAATGAAGGACTCCAAAACCTCCTCCAGCCCTCGAACAAATATGCCTTCTTCCTTTACTGCTTCATCGTCTTTTGTGTTATCCATACTTTAAAGGAGTTGGCCTTCTATGTTTTGGAAACCCATTGCCTGTTCTGTTTTACTATAGTGCTCTTCTACCTTCTTAAGATGACTTTCCAAGATTACAGAAATAACAATAAACGTCCTTAAGAAAAGCTGCATCTCTACTCTTTTTTGCC